ACACACAGACACACACACAGACAAACAACGAGTCTCGGAGGGACACAGCAGCTGTGACAGTGGGACGTCAGCGTGTCTGCTGTTTCTTTGTCCAATGAAAGCAGACACATGAAGGGCAGAACGCTGACGGCGATTAGCACTGTTAGCTGCACAGCAACAAGGTGTTGAGTTTGACCCCACCATGCAGGCGGGGCCTCTCCCTGTGGCGTTTGCGTGTTCTCCCCGTGTTTGCAGGGGTAAGAGGAAGAAAAGGTCATGAGGTGAAGGTGGTTGGTGACTCGCTCTCTTTCTCAGGTCCGAGTTCTGCAAGGTGTTCCAGCTCTGGTGCAACTTTTCTCCAGCGACAACCAGGAAGTGAAGCGTTACGCTACTGCCGCCACGAGGAACCTCATCTACGAGAGCGCCGAGAACAAGGTGGCTCTCATCGACGCCGGCGGGCTGACACCTCTCATTAGCCTCCTGAACGAACCTGACGAGGAGCTGCGAAAGACCATCACAGGTGGGAACCCTCTGCTCTCTGGACTAGTGTGAGACGTTAGCGACGTGAACCCGTCTTACAAACTCGCTGTGGCCGTCTGCAGGCGTCCTGTGGAATCTGTCCTCCAGAGATAACCTGAAGGAGAAGCTGTCCCGGGAGGCGTTACCTGTGCTGACACAGAAAGTTCTGATTCCTCTGTGCAGGAGCATCCCGCTAAGTCCATCGGAGAGAGACATCTTTAACAGCACCACCGGCTGCCTCAGGTACCATCAGGTTTTTATAACTAAACCATCTGATGGAGACTAGAAAAGAAGCTCAACATGTCCAGGATACCTTTTATTTATCTGGCTTCTCTTCATTTACCATCATCAGCTGATTATCAGCTTGATAAATCAGTACACAGGTATTACAGGTACTGTGCTGCAGTGGTTTGTATCATATCTATCTAATAGACTCCAGTTTGTGCATGTAAATGGAGAGTCCTCTTCACACACTGAGGTTAATTATGGAGTTCCACAGGGTTCAGTGCTAGGACCAGTTCTGTTTACATCATACATGCTTCCCTTAGGCAGCATCATTAGAAGACGTAGCATACATTTACACATTTTCAGACCTTCGTGCGATGTGCACACTGAGGCTTTTCCAGGAACTGATTGGTCAATAATAAAAGGTTTAGTGTGTGGTGATCTCTCATCTGGAACATAATCTGCTCTGATATAAGATGTGAACCACCTTCATAACTCTGACACACAGGCTTGGACCTGGTGTTACCTTAATAACCACAAACCCTGCTGCAGAGCTCAGGCGTGCCAGGATTTGGGCCGTCTCAGCATGCAGAGTGAACACAGCCTCGGTCAATATAATGTCGTCCAGGCGTGGACCAAGAGACGCTCTTTCACTCAGAGTGAAGAGATCAGCAACAGCAAAGAAGGTGGAAGACGTTTCACTGGAGGGAGAAAGCTGCTTCTTTCATCCTTTTAGTACAAAGTCTGCAAACCTTTCAGAGGTTTCACTCAGACTGGACGGTTTTGTGCACATGGAAATTAAAGTAAATTTAGATAATGCTTCAAAATAACTGCCCAGAGCTGCTTAATGACAGTGAGACTGCTTCCTAGAAGGATTTTAACCTCAATTAGGCTCTGATGCATCATTTCAAGGAAATAAAAGATGAACTGAATGGATGTTTATTTAAAGTAACGTCACATAATGCAGTCGCACAGAGCAGCAGCTGCCTTTGTTTCATTGTAGTAATGTTTGATGTAAGTGAAGGATTTGGTCGGGTTGAACGTCTCCGTCTGTGTTGCTCCGACAGGAACATGAGCTCCGTGAACGAGAGAACGAGGCAGAAGATGAGAGAAATGCCCGGCCTCGTGGACTCTCTGGTGACCTACATCCAGCAGGAAGAACAGGGCGACGAGAAGGTGAGCCACAGAGGCGCGTGGATAATGATGTCTGAGTGCAGGCGCTTTAAAACGTCTGGAGCCGTGAGCACAAACCACAGACGCCGGAGACGTGGTTTGTCATTTACAGCAGAACAGTAACCAGCTCAAGTCTCACTGAGGTTAACCTGGAGTGTAAAGAGTGCACGTTTGCTCTGATTCATCGCTGCCTCGCGTCACAGTTTCAGCATCAGGACTCTGAACTGTGCATGACTGTAGAGGCTTTACTTCTAAACTTGTATAAACGAGGAGTGATCCCACAGATCTGAGAGCCGGTCGTTCCAGAGTTCACTTTGGCCGACCTTCGAGATCATCTGCTCGTCTTCATCGTGTTTGCTGCTGCGTTAGTATCAGGCTGATTTTACTCTCAGCTCTTAGTTTCACCTACTAAAGTGACGAGTGGGCCTGGTGCAGTCTGGACTGGTGTTTGTCAGGAAGTCGCTGACTCACCGCCGTCCCACTCAACGGATTTCCCAAAGTGTCCTCGGGCTGGTTGTGCTGGAATGTGTCGCTAAATGAATAAAACTGAAGACATTTCCTGTATGTCTTTGTTCTATTTTTAGTGTGGCCAGTATTCCAGTTATTCCTCTGAAATCGTCTCTGTGCTGTTGTTAAAGTGCAAAGATGTAAAACTGCAGCAGTGCATCATAAAGAAGGCTGGGAGAAAGAAAACAGCTGGTTAATAAAAATAGATTTTGTCTGTCCTCGGGTCAGAGCGGGGGCGGGAGCGACTGAAACGGGATATCGTGATGTGCGAGCTTCAAGGACGAGGGCGACAGAATCCTCAGTCATTCCCAGTTTTCGATGGTGGCGACTCTCCACGTTATTAATGGTGCGGTGGTTTGGGTCGCGTGTGAAAAGGGTTCAGACTTCTTTCTGTGCTTTTAGTGTCTGAAGCTCATCAGAGTCGGCACGGTGACTAAGACTCGCTGCTTTGAGCCCGTTTGTTTCGGTCGCTCTTTTAACTGATATCCATTTTTTATTTCCTGTCTGCGTGTTCAGGGTTTGGAGAACTCCCTGTGCGTGATGAGAAATCTGTCCTATCAGCTGTACTCGGAGCTTCCCCCCTCAGTCCAGCTCCGCCTCGAGGGCCCGTCGAGAGCTTCTGCCAACAGAGAGATCGAGACCATCGGCTGCTTCACTCTGTACAGCAAGAAGAACGTGGAGGTACGAGCAGGAGGAGAGGGTGCTGGTGTTATCCACCCGTGTGGTGCTCTGTGCTTGGATCCCCATCACCTCCAGAAACCTTCTGCACATTAGAGTAGCTACGGTCTGCTAGATTTCATAGTAATGTGTTCGTTTAAAATCTAACTTAAATGTGAAACTGGAAAACAGCAGCAGACAGACGTAAGCAGTTTAATCACACGAGCGCCTGGAAGATAAATTCATAACAATCTTTGTTTTTATTGAACGACTCAACTTGATTCTCACAGTTTATCAATTTAGTACAAAGTCTGCAAACAAGTGCTACTGTAACTCATGAAAGTAGTTTCGTTTAATGTTAGGTTTGTTTAGCCTGGTTTAGCTTAGTTTGGTTTAGTTTCTTTTGGTTTGGTTTAGCTTAGCTTAGCTTGGTTTAGTTTAGCATGGTTTGGTTTAGTTTGGTTTGGTTTAGTTTTACGTTGAGTTTACACTCAGCAGATTTTCTTCAATTATGAATTATTTATATAAATCAACTTTTTGTTTTATATCTTTTTGCTACTTTTGACCCCAAATTCTGTATTTGTACTTGATTTCTCTCTTCGCCAGCGGCAGAATCACCAGAACTTGCCCACCCTGTCTCAGCCTAAAGGGTCCGAGTGGCTGTGGCACCCGAAGGTGGTGGGGCTCTACAAGCTCATCCTGCAGAACAGCGACTACAGTTCCTGCAGCCGCGAGGCCGCCATCGGAGCCCTGCAGAACATCACCGCGGGAGATGCCAGGGTAACGCCTCATCCCGATCGTCAGCTTTAGTGCGAGGTGCGGTCTCTGCAGGCTCACGTGACCTTTCCTCCTCTCTGTTAGTGGGCGTCCGTGCTGAGCATGGTGATTATAGAGAAGGAGCGGATGCTTCCCATCCTCCTGGACCGGCTGGACACCATCAGTGATACGGAGCTCAGGCCTCTGAGCGGCCTGCTGAGGAATCTGACCCGGCACGCCACCGACAAACAGCACATGGGTAAGAGCCTTGCTGGGACAGGTGCAGCTCTGCTTTCAAGGGGTTTCAGTGCATCCGCCTTTTTCCCGTTCTCTGGACCCCAAGGTCCAGGTCCGCTCCAGAGTCTTTCTTATTCAAGTCCTTCTTCTGTGTCGTGGCAGCTAAGAACATGGTGGGGCTTCTGGTGTCCAAGCTTCCCGCAGACGGCCTGCAGAAAATGCCATCCAGCGACGTGGTGGTCAACCTCTGCGGAGCCCTCAACCACCTGGTCACCTGCAGCTCCTCGGCAGCCCGCGACGTCTGTCACTTCAACGGCATCCCCAAACTGGTGGGCATCAAGACGTCCCACGACAGCAGGTACGTGTAGTCGCGCTGATGGTCGCTGTCGCCGGCTCCGCCGCCGTTTCTCTTCAGACTCTTCATGTTTCCTCTGAAACAAAGCTGTGACCCCTCTGCGACCTTTGTTTCCTGTTTAGGACTTCACATGTCTGTTATAACCTTTCCTTCACACTGCGGGACATGTTTGTGATGAAGCTCGTCCCTGCTGCTCTGGTATTTCCGCCTCATTAGTCCTCCTGTCCTCTCTCACTCTCTGCTGTCCTTCACTTTTAGCTCCGGGAGTCAAAAAGCTGCCCGAGCAGCCTCGACCGTCCTCTGCAACATGTTCCAGTACAAGAAGCTGCACAGAGACTACAGACTGGTGAGTTTCATGTGTAATCTTCACATGCTTCATCCAGAACACACTCTCTGTTGATTCACCCGCTAATTATTTCCAGCAGCGGGGAGTAGATTTCGTCACAGTAGATGTTTTTCTGAAAGTGCTGCAACTGAGTTTGAGGATACAAGTCACCTGCTGTTATCATCTTATCTTGTCAATCATTTGACCTCCTCACTACGTACGACTGTAGCTCCTGTGACAAATCAGAAGTACCTGACTCCGTGGTATAATTCTCAAACACGTAGCCTAAAGCAGATGACTCGTAAGCTGGAGAGGAAATGGCGTGTCACAAATTTAGAGGATCATAATTTAGCCTGGAGAAATAGTTTGCTGCTTTATAAGAAAGCCCTCCGCAAAGCCAGAACATCTTACTATTCATCACTGATTGAAGAAAATAAGAACAAGCCCAGGTTTCTCTTCAGCTCTGTAGCCAGGCTGACAAACACACCATTGATCAGCAACCAGAGACTGTTGATCAGCCTGAAGGCTCCTAAAGACGAGAAGAAGGACAGCTGCTGCCTGAAAACCTTAGTGAGCCCTTATGTGTCAGGAGCATCAGGAGCATCAGGACTCAGTGATGAGGAAGTACACATCCTGGACAGGGAGGAACGCTGGTTTGAGGGCGGAGTCAAGGAGACCATCTCTGAATCGAGGAGGGGGCCTAAGGGTACATCTGTCACCATACGTGACAGATGTACCCTCAAACATGTCGTCGAGGTGAAGACGGAGGCGGCGTGCTTGCGGTCACTTTGGGAGCCTTTGTCACATTTCTGGTTGCAGCTATGTTTAAGTCAAAGAGCCTGAACCCGTCCTGCTGTTTTATTTCCTGCAGCCTGAGCTGGGGAGAAGCTGTGGGCGTGGGCTGTCATTGTGCTCCGTTTGTTTCCACCAGATGGTTTTCTCGTCTGCATCTGGCTGCATCTGTTTTTTATCTCACTTGACCTCCACTTCTCGTAACTCCTCTTCCTCGCTGCCTCCCTCCTCTGCTCTGCACCCGAGCCTGGCCCTCATTAGTCTGTGGACGTGCTTATCTGGAAGTTCTGCAAAAGCAAATATTTTCTCTGAAGTAAGCAGCAGTCAGACTGGAGACTTGCTAAACTCCGTCTCTGAACTAAAAATGAAATTAAACTTGTTAATGATTGGGCTGGCAGGGGCTCACTCTGCCCCAGAACACCACATGATGATGATGATGATGATGATGATGATGATGATGAAAAGCTAAATGCGAGTCTGTCTGTAGCCTCCCCTCCTTCTGTGGAGGCATTAGCAGACCCCCCACCCGCTCCTGCTGTGAGAATCCTTTCCTCGTGTCTGCCGAGCTGCAGCAGGAATGTGGAGAATCTGGCTCAGACATTTTGGGTTCGCCTCTGTGTCTCTGCTGAGGTGAACTTGGCGGTCCTCCTCCCGTAAATCCGTGCAGCACAAACAAACCCAGGCCTTTATCTCCCTGCACTTTCACACAAACCCAGTTGTGCAGATAACACATCTGGAACACAACTGTTCAGAAACAAAATGACAGGATGAATATTTCTGGTTTACAGATGGTGAAACTTTTTCTCTGCAGTCAAACTGTCGACAAACAGCTTTGTTAGGTAACGCTGAGAGTGGTGGCCCAGCTTTTATAGCCCAGGCTCCGTTTATTGTGCAACTTCTCTGAGTTTATGGTGCTGCGCTGTGGAAACGGCTGATGAAGGCTGACAGATACATGGGCTGCTTCATTCTTCTGAGCCTGCAGCAGGCAACCAGGAGACGGCTGCAGAGGAACCTGGAGCACAGCTAAAGTTCAGTGACACACACAGGGACACACACAGGGACACACACAGGGACACACACAGGGACACACACACACACACTTTAGTTTATGACAGAAAATCTAAACTTCCAGTCCTTCAAAAGTACACCGTGCACGGCTGCATGGCATTGTGCCGATGTCCACGTCAGGATAACGCTCAAAATTCCTGATAGATCACAGAGCCTTCAGAAGCTGCTGCTCTCCACATCGCTTATAATAGTGCTGCTGTGGGCTGAAGCTGCTGTGGACTGAAGCTGCTGTGGGCTGAAGCTGCTGTGGGCTGAAGCTGCTGTGGGCTGAAGCTGCTGTGGACTGAAGCTGCTGTGGGCTGAAGCTGCTGTGGGCTGAAGCTGCTGTGGGCTGACGTTTGTAGGTCTGTGAGTTCTGAGGTCCGAGGGACATTTCACCATCACACAGCGAGGCTTCGTGTGGGCGTCTGTCTGTGGGCGACGCAGGAACCCGCCCTGCACGGCGCTGCAGCAGTGGAGCGACGGCCTGTGGAGTGAGCTACAGGCTGTAATTCCACTGAGCTGCGTCTTCAGACACTTCATCTTTTAACGATTCACGGTTGCAGCATCTTTCATCACTCCTTTGATGATTTTTAAGCTGCACTGCAGGATCTTACCGCCTGATCGGCTCAGTGTTAGTCGTACTCTACTCTGGACCTGCTGCTTATTCTTCATTTCCTCTAAAAGCTCCTGTAGTACTCGCGTGTTCTGCTCACCCTACACTGAAGTACTTTAAGTATTTGTACTCGTACGCGGTAAAAAAAGAGGAATTCATGCTGTAAACTGTGGGTGTGTCTCTGTTGCGACATCAGCTGTGTTGGGTGGGTAGGTGTGGGCACGTAGTCGCCCACTAGAGGGCAGAGCAGGACTGAGTTGTACCCTCCTCCAAAGATTCTTTTAATCACAGCGTTTTCTTCATCAAACATAAATCATTTTGTTTTAGCACAAATTACAGAATGATTTCTAAACATGACCAGAGTCGGTGTTATTATTACTGTTACCCTCTGAGACACTGAGCTTTTATTGGAGCACGGCTCAAACCACTGCTGTGCAGTGATGTGCTTTCACTCTGTAATGCTCCAGTGGAAGCTGAGGGTTCTCTTCAGAATAAAAGACTTCAGCGGGGTTCGAGCTGTCACTGAGAAAACATCAGGCTAAAAACAAAAGTCCAGACTTGAGAGAAACAGTCGGTGCTCACAGAAGAAGCCTGCAGAGACAGGAAGCAAAGATTTCAGAGGCTTGGAGAGAAAACCAGTGAGAGTCTAAACACTAACTTCACTGAGCCGATGTAGTGACATCACCTGCACACCAGGAAGCACGAGACTAAAACACAGACTGAAGTATGCTGAGGAACATCCTGCAGACCGGGAGCGCCCTTTGGTCAGAGACGCTGCTTAGGTTCAAAGAAAGGAGGGCGAGGCTGCGCCCCAAACACCAGCATCGCCACCAACACCACTGCTGCTCCTCCAAACACCAAAGTGAGCTTCACCGAGCGGCCTGCAGAGAGTTGAATCCCGCTGATAATCCGTGGATGTGAAGACGGGCGGTGCCAGCCCGCTCACTCCAGCCGGTCGCAGCAGATGGCCCCGCCCCTCCCTGAGGCTGGTCGCCAAAGTGCTGCTCATAGGGGGTCATGTGATTGTTGGGTTTTTCTCTGTATGTATTATTGTAGGGTCGACCTTACAGCGCCTTGAGGCGACTGTTGCTGTGTAAATAAAAGTGAGCTGAGTGTGAGACAAACATCTGCAGGCTGGTGTCCAGCAGGGGGCAGCGGGTGAAATCATGCAAACATCCAAAGTAAAACTGGGACGTTTTTTGTATTACGAACGATGATGATGACGGTCGAGTCGCTCTGTGGGGACACTGGGTGAGTTTCTGTTTGTGTCTTTTTCCAGAAAGGATTCGGCAAACGAGACTTCGCAGACGGATCCTTCTAGGCTCAGCGTTTGACCTCGGGACCAAGACGAAGTTGACCGAACCCGTTATGTGACTGCGACCGACTTCCAGGAAGGCGATAGTGACCCGGAGCCGCGCAAACGCACGTGGCCTTTGGCAGCTGTGCGTTCGCTCAGCCGCAGAGAGTCTGACGGGAAGCTCGACACGGACACACGTCAGAGTCCGACTCCACGCCTTGGACGTGTTCGCGTTACGTGCGGTGCTCGTAGAGTTTAGCTTTGGTTGCCGATGCGTTCACTTACCGTTGTAAATATTGATGCACATGTGTGCCTTTTAGGGTGTGTTCACATCAAACATGAAGGTTTCACCTCATGTGACTGCAGTCACCGTGGAAACTGGAGCATTCACCCCTGTGATGCCGATGGTTCAGTCGGCGTCCACGTGGCGCTGGAGAATCCCGGCTCTCCCGTGTGAAGGCAGATTTGCCCCCGTTTGTATCGCCCAGCATGAACTTGCCTCATTGCATGAACTTTGTCTGTAATCACGCTCCACGTTTGTTGTGAACACACCGTTGAAGACCTGCAGGTCACCACTCACTCATTACTTTTTTAATCCAAAGGTCAGAGGTCAGATCTTCAGACTCTAACGACGTCTCACAGGTGCGTTCTGGCAGGTGAGCGGCGACCTGGGGCGTGCTTAGAGGTTAAAGGATGATTCGGTTTAGTTTAGCCTGACTTGTTTTCGTGGGCGACGGCTGTTGGGATGATTTTGTCGGAAAGCTGTGAGCAGATCACGCGCCGCGAGCGGATCTCGCGCGGTTTGCTCACCGATTTCTGCAACTTCTGCTTCTCACGGCAGAGGTGTGAGTTGAGTTAAAGGGAAGCACAGAGGGTCGAAATGTAGACGTGATGATTTCGCGTGTAGGAACATTTTCTAACTGTTAATAAAAGGTAATAAAACTGAAGTGAATACTTTAACTCCTGTATCTGAAATGAAGATTAACAACGATTGCTGATTGGTTGGTTTGTAAACCATGAACGAACAAATGCGTGGATGTTTCTAAACTGTGTCAATAAATACTGTGCATTAACAGAAGTTCTCTGGATGGTTCTTATTCGGCCGGCCGTGTTAGAAGCTGCTGCTGAAACGAGCACAGTGCAAACATTGTTTTTGAGGAGGCGTGGCCAGAGAACGCAGCCTCGCCCGGCTCATTCCTGCCGTGAGAAACATCTGCGATCGTGTTTCCCCAGCAGGTCATGTATGAACATCCAGCACAGCAGCCGGCGTGGGAGCTGTCCACTCTGAGACCACCCACAGTGGAACAAGAGTTCCCTGAGATGGAAACATTATGCTGCTAAAGTCACAGTGATTCATGTCAGTGTGCTCCACATCACAGTCAGACTATAGAGGGCATGTTTATGGAGTGTGTCGTTTCCTGACACCACCCACAGGTGGTGCTGTTTACTGCATCTCAGCCCTGCTGCTTCACTCTGTGTGCAGCTGATATAAATCCCAGTGATTATTAGCATTAGCAAACATAACCAGTCTCACCTACAGAAGCATTTTCACACATGACGCGACGTGGGTTTTTACCCCTGCTGTTAAAACCGCGCACAGGAGGAACACAGGGCGAGTGTTGCACCATAGGGGGCGCCCTCGAGCTCACCCACAACAATACGGGTGTAGCTCAGGTGGTAGAGCAGATCATCTACTGATCGGAAGGTTGGTGGTTCGATTCCCGGCTTCCCCTAGTCTGCATGCCAAATATCCTTGGGCAGGATACTAACCCGAAATTGCTCTCCGATGCATTCATCGGAGTATGAATGTGTGTGAATGTCAGTTGTGCTTGTGTGAATGGGAGTGAATGGGTGAATGCACAAGTTGTGTAAAGCGCTTTGAGTGCTCAGAAGAGTGGAAAAGCGCTATATAAGAACTAGTCCATTTACCATGAACAAAGAACAAAACTGTAAATTTCAGGATGTGAACACTTTTCTCCTGAAAACGTTCAACGTGTTTTTGATAGAAGGGCTTGTTGTCATAGTTCCGTTTAGGGCAGGACGTCCTTCACCTGTGAATGAGTCACAGCCTGTTACAGTTAACGGGAGGATCAGACACTGATAGAGCAGAACGGTTCCACCAGCGTTTAGACGTCCGTCCACCTGCAGAGACTCACCGCGGTAAAGTGAGCCGTCATTTGTGAGCCGCGGTCAAGCCAGCCGC